TTCTCTTTAAACCAGGAGCTTTTAATGGAACAAAAAATTATTTGTTTATTAGATAGGGAGTTCCCAATCACTGGAAATATTAATTTTACACAGTTGTATCTGGGGAATAGAACCAAGGGTTTTGTCTATCACATAGGAATTTGGACTATATCTGTTTTTAATTATGTCTTCTGATTCTTTTGGCAGTCTGGAAAGGCCTATAGGCCTTCTCCTAATAATTATTTTACATGTTGAGAATTACAAAAGAAACCAATTATAATGAAAGATGCTTATCAAGATCTAAAAGTCAAATTTGTGATATAATGATATATATGCTTCCATTAATCCATTCAATAATAAGATCTAGCAGTAGGTCTAGTAGCTGTTACAATTTTGAGTAGCAATGAGTCTAACTGCTATTTCAAGATACCTGAAACAAATTTGATGCAATGTGAAAATAACTCAGTCACAGGTACTGTGAATACTACTGACATTTGCTACCTAAATTTATAATTTAAGGAAAGAGTGGTTAATTTAAGGAAAGCATAGACATTTGTATAAATAAAGATGTAAAATCTTTCCATCCAAGCTCACAGATACCCTGAATTCTATCCAGAGAGTGCCTGAATTCTATCCAAAGAATATCATGATTCTTTGGAAGTGATGGTATGTGAAGTTTCAAATGATCTCCATTTCCAACATTTAAAAGCTCACACCTTATAGAATTGCATAACAGACCCAACATGATCCTTGAGAAGGCTCTGGATCTAGTTTGTGCAGGTTCAAATCCCAACTTAAACACCAGCTTTGTGATCTAAGGTTAAATTACTTAAAATCTCAACACCTGGACCAGAGATTTAGCTCAGTGGTTCCGTCGTCTGCCTCACAAGTGCAAGGTCCTTACTTCGATCCCCAGTACCAAAAAAAATTAAAATAAAATAAAACAATAAAATCTCAACACCTTGATTTCCACATATGTAAAATGGGAGTAATAGTTTGACTCTCATTGAGTTTACCTGAAGTTTCAATGGAATAATTTTTGCATACAAGAATTAGCTATTACATTAACATAAAGGAACAGACTCAAGAGTTCAAAGGATGTCTTTAGGAAAACATCTTAGGTCACCCATCTTTAAAAAATAATATACATGTGCGTTTGCGTATATATATGATATCACACACACACACACACACACGACCCTGCCTTTGTCCTGTAAAATGGGACATTACCTTTCTGTGAGTGGGCCATCCTCTATCCTGCAAACAAAGACCAAAATGGGACTTTCTATACATTTCACAAATTCCATAGATTTCTACTCCCCCAAATGCATAAATATCCCCAGCCCCACACTATAGTGAGCCTCTCTCTCTCGGCAGCCTATATTCTATTTCCTTTGAGTTTGTACTTTAAATTTTGCCTTATTGTACCTCTTTTCACCTCTCACTTTATGCCTCAAATTCTTTTTCTGTGATGGAAGTCAGTGGATGGATGAGCCTAGGTTCCCCACCTCCACTTTAGGGACTTCCCTAGACCCTATCTGGGACCTCTCTTCTCTCTTTTATCTTTGTGAATGACAGAAGAAGAAATGATTCATCCATATACTCAGTGGATGAATATGTCATCCATGTCTTTGTTAAAAGAATAAAGGCTCATCAAAGAATCTTTTAAAAAATTACTAATATCTACCTAATCTTATTACACCGTCTCCAGAGTGTGCTGAATCATGCTAAGCTAACTGCAACAGCACAAGCACACAATATTGTTTCACATCTCCACACCCTTACTCATGTCTCTCCACTGTGATGAAGAAATCTGTCCTTCATCTCTTGCAACTCTTTTTTTACTGTTCCTACCTATGTAATTTCAAATTCATTAACCAAATCTGAAATGTATCTATGAAACCATTTTATGTCACTCTGAGAGAATGCCCAAATCCTCCTTTGGGTCTTATAAAACTTCTTTTGACAAGGGAAGTTCCATACAAACTGACCTTGGTGTAAGCAATAATATAATACAAATGGTGTTCTTAAAGAGTTTTAAGACTTTTTCATCTCAACAAACATCAGTTTGCTAAAGATAAGAACTAGGTTTTGATTATGAGACCCCAGAGGCAAACCCAAAGCCTTGTGTGCAGTGCAATTTTCATGGATGGATGGATGGATGAGTGGAGGGCTTCATGCTTGGGTGGGTGGATGGATGGGTAGATGAACACATGGCATAATACTATTGGGACTTCAATCACTTGTACATAGGCAGACAGAGAGCAAAACAGCTTATGGCTAATTGAAAATTACTAAAATGTGAAATATTTTAAATATTTTAAAATATGGAAAAATACTAAAAATCTTTTTATCTCTTCTTCATCAAGATGTGTCGTGACATGTTGGAACTACTTCCAACTCATTGGGTTGCTGTGGAAATCAAATGGGGGAATGTATTATATAATATTACGTTTATTAAGGCCTACCCATAATTAAATAATTAAACTGTGTAACTTGGCAGAGAGTTTCTCAAAATGTTTCCTATGATACTACCCTTCCTGGCACACTCTTTGCCCCACAGTGCATATATGCTCAGGGTTTCAAACCCTTCGCTGGATCAGAACATTTTCACAGCTCATTGGCTTTATGATGCCATTGAGCCTTCATTATCTATAGAAGGGTGGAGTTGACTAGGTATCACTTTCAACCTCTCTCTGACAGAGAGGTAGTCTGTGAATGTGGCTTTGAAGTCAGATGCCCTGGGTTCAAATCTTGACTTGGATTCAAACTTGGAGCAGCTTACTTTCTCCAAGCTTTGACTTTCTGGCTATTTCTACCTCCTCACTTCTCATTTCTCTAATCATGTCTCAGTCTCCCGGCTTCTATGTCATCTTATCCAACCTGACACAGGAGAACACTTTTTCCTTCTTGAAACATTTACATCTCTTGGCTTTCTGTGACTTCATTCTTTCCTAATTTTCTACCTACTTTCTTGGCCACTCCCTTTTAATTTCCTCTGCTGGATCCTTTCTCTGTACTTAACCTTTAAATTTTGGAGTGACTTAGAATTCAGGCTAAACTTTCTTGTTCTCTTTTTTTCTCCATTGTTGCTAGGATATCTCATTCAGACCCAAGACTTTAAATACCAACAATAAGCCAAAGTGTTAGTAACTCCCAAATTTGTATGTCCAGCTCTGACTAGGTTAGGCTTCTATATCTTCTGAAGGTTAGGCTTCTATATCTAACTTGGTATCTTTAAATCTGGGGAGCCCAAGAACTCAGGATGTCCTTCAACCCAGTTCACATCAAAACAAATCAATCAATGAGCACACAGCCCCACTCTTTCCCCACGCATTCCTTTCTAAATTATGATATAACCTGAATCAGTGATGGTGAACCTTTTAGAGCTTTCAATGATACGAACAGCCCACTGTGGCAAGTGTGCCATAGGTTCACTACCACTGACCTAAATGCTCAAGCTACAACTCTTGAGTATCTCTCAACTTCTTCCCTAGGAGTGGATTGAATAAATGGTTATAGGAGTTGCTATGAGAATTAACTGAGATGGTGCTTAGCATGAAGTTTGGTGCGTAAGTATAAAATATACTCAATAATACCCAATAAGAGCATTTCTGTCGTCAGATTTTTTTGGTCCAGTAACTCCACAGAAAATATGGAAACTTAAAGGTAGATCTTGAGAATAAATAATTTTCACAGTAAAATAAAAGATCATATTGAAAGGGAGAGAACAAAAACAGTGACGACAAGATACAGAGTTTTTAAAGCAATCGTGCAGAAGGTTAATTCTAGAGTAAAAAGATATTTGAAGCAAGGGACATGTGGACAGCGCACTGGGCTGCTGAAGACAAATTTTTCTGTTTCCTAATGGTCATTCCTTAATTTCCCAACGCTGTCTCAAGTTAATTATTAATCCAATTTGCCAATTATAGTAAAAAAATAAAGGCTTTGTTGACCACCCTTGATGGAGGAAAAAGGGGTGGGGGAAGACAGGGATCCACAGGAAGAGAAGCACCAAACTTTGACGCCATCAAGCCCAGTATTTCACATTCTGGGAGGTGGCTTTTAAATGACCTTTATAGTACAGTTTACAAATGATGTGTCTGTATGTCCTAATGAGCAGCAGTGGGCATTCTGACATTGTTCCTAGACTTTCCTCAGCCATCTTTTAAAATACATGTACAGTACCAGTGTTGCAGCTTGTGGCCACTAGCCACAAGAAGTTCTATTCCAGTAAAAACCTTAAAGGAATGAGGAGGGAAGCTATGTTTCTTCTTAATTGTCCTAAAGTAGGCCCCGGGGAACCATAAGGACAGTTTACAATATGAAGGAGAGCAAAGTTTATTCAGGTATGCACTGAACCTATGGGGCACAAACGTAAGAATTTTATGATCATCTTACCAAAACTGAGGACATAGCAAAGTCCCAGGGACACCATAGCTAAGTATTGAGAGCCTAATCTTACTCTGAAAACCTCAGCAGAGGCATCCTGCCCATGTGGAGGACCTCACTGGAAACTGGATTCATCATATTCCACAGTGAACTGCTGGGGGTGTGAGGTTAGATGCCAGTGAACCTCAAATCTAAAAACACTGCAGCGAGTGAGCCAAAAAGTTACTACTGGGCTAATTAGATGGATTCAAGGAGGAGGTGAAATGCAGTCTGTTTCCTGACATATCTGCACACAAAAGTAACTTAGTAGACATTTTGGAAAAAAGAAACGCAGGAACAAAGAAAAGGAATTCCATGTCTAAATTAGAATTTTCTAAACTGGGTTCTACTAGTACATTTTTGTTTCCGCCATCTATTGCTTGTGCAGTTGGCACGTTTATTATTCTTTACCATCTCTAATAAGACGTGTGAAAATGTTACTGAGAGAACCTGGCAGGGTATGACCACTATGACCTCTGTGAGAAGTGCACACCCTCTGGGCCAAAGATTACAAAAACTCTTGTGCTGCCGGGAAGCAGATCCCTCCATAAGGCAGAGACACGGAACTTAAGAACAGCAAAAAGCCAGACCTGGATGGTGAAGGAGAAAAGACGGTTCATGAAAGAGAAGGAGTCACAGTGCCAAAATTCTGCAGTCCTGAGGCGGATGTGATGGGGTACACCCTACTGGAGAGGCTGAGGCAGTAGGCGCACAAGCTCGAAGCCGGTCTGGGCGACTTAGTGAGATCCTGCGTGGGGGTGGGAGGGGATAAGAAAAGGGAAGGCGAGAGGAAAAAAAAAAAAGAAAAGAAAAATGATTCCAGTGCTAAGGGAAGCTGGTAGAGAATTAACCATAAACCAAAACAAAGGAGTCACCATAGTCCCTGGTCCGCTCTCCTGAAGAAGATGGCTGCGGCGGACATGGCGGAGTGCGAAGAATTTGATTGGCAACCCCCAAATCTCTGTAGCTACAAAACCTCGGAGTCCCTCCAGCTCCTGCTTCCAGGAGACTGTCCTGGGTACTTCTCAGAGCCTCGGACAACAAAGAAAGCTGAGGCCAAAGGCTGCGGCCACGCTCCGACGCCAGGTGCTCCTCTCAGAAGCCAAGCGGGCCTGCTGGGGAGGGGGAGCAAGTGGAGAGAGCTTACTGAGCATGCGCGGGCTCGGGCCCCCGGGCTTGGGGTGGAGCTTCAGGGAAAGAAAGAACCAGTTTGCAAGTCAAGATGTCATTCCAGTTTCCCCCAAATCTTCTTATTTATCACTTTTATACGTTAAAAAAAGACAAGTGACATTGCTAACTATGAAACTAAAAACACATCCCATGTTTGTTCATCAAAACGGAATGATTTGGTGACTTCAAATCACTATTCGCAACTTTATTACAAGGGCGAATTTTCAACACGAACCTGTGATTTTTCCAGACCACACATCCTTTGAACCTTAAACCTCTCAGCTTGAACATGCCTGAAATACAAGCACAGACAATATAAAAAGATCCAAAGCCCAGGATCCCAGCGGCATTTGGAATTCAGGCCCACTGAGAAATGTTTACACCTCCTTTCCTTGACTAGAAAGCAGCTGAAGGAAATTCACTCTGAACAGTAATTGCATGTTTTGTAAAAGCTATCAAAAGTTACACACAGATGCATTTTACAAAGGCCTAGAGGGGTGTTCACACTTCCTGGCAGGTGTGTGAGCCTGTGGCTCTAACAATCCAGGGACAAGAGCCACAAAGGTGGCTCAGGTGGTCTTGAACATGTCTCTATGAGATGATTTTAAGCATTCTCTCCACATCTGTATGGCTTGGCAGCCAGCTGCAAATGTGTTTCTATCACTGGAGGCCTTAAGAGCTGCTCTCTTCCGGTGAGCCACGATCACCCCCACAGTCAGATGATGCCTGGTGTGTAATCTTCGAACACCTGCACTCTTCAAATCCTGCCTGTGATTTATGTGGTAGTGTTTGTCACTTCACTGGCATTGAAATATACAAACTGGGTGTAATTGTGACCTGGAAAGACTCAAGCGGGACACTGAAAACAAAGAAAAACTTCAGCTTAATATGGAGTATCAAGAACTGTCCCACCATACTGGAAGGAGTCACTTAATAGTGGAGGAGAATCAGGCTTGCATGTGAATATTGCTTTAACTAGAAAACACTATTTCCTTACATTGATGTTGGCACTAATTATTATAATAACCCTGAGTTTACACTAGTAACAAATCAATTGTAATGAGCTGAACAAAAGAATCTAGGTGGAATTCTTCTCGATAATATGCTCCTGTCAGTACAGTCAAAATACAGTGCCAACACACTGCCAGTGTCAGTGAAGAACACATTGTAAAACGGGTATGTCCTTTTAATCTCTTAATTGGTTGTGTATGTAAGGAAATAAGACGAAACACTGATTCGCTGTCCACCTGGATCTTTTGAAGAGTAGCTATTCTTAGAGCCATCACAGGTTGTATTTTGAAAAGTGTCTGTGTCTGATTAGGTATAGAGGTGAAGAGTCTGGTTGTCACAGAAGGGGCCTGAATTTGAATTTTGGAATGTAAACAAAGGAATTTGTTGTGCCTGATATGCAGCTCAGACCATTTGTTTAGCAAACTTGGTTGGTTCCCTTAAGAGTTAATCAGTACCTGTTTTTAAAACTTTAGCGGAGAGAAATATTTTTTCATTCACAAGCAACTCTGCAAACTTGGACAGCGTTGATTTTTAAAGTCATCTGTGTAGGTGATTAAATTTTCTAACTCCTTTTACATATATTACCCTATTTTGTCCTCATAACCCAGGAAATTAGTAACACAGGTAAGAGCGTGTTTAAAGTTAGATAATTTCCTGGAGGTCACATGATAATTAGTAGGTGAAATATTTCTAGAACCTAGATCTCTGTGCAGCTTGTTTATAACACATTTTCTCCTGATAGGTTATTTATTGGTCAGACCATCAATGGTGCTTTATGATGAGTGCAGAGAGAACCCTAGGGAAAAAGTTTCTATATTTAGGTGGCTGGCATTTGTTACAATTCACATAAACACATCTTTAGAGTTTCTCAGAAATGAACAGAGCTGCTTTTGTTAAGCTAACAAAATAACTAGTCGGTAATAGAAGAGGCAGAAATATTGTTTTAGTTTGGGGACCATTAAATATAAGCATCTAATGTGTGTGTATGTGTGTAAGGAAGTGAGGGAAAGAGAGCCTTAAGAGAATGCAAAATAACACATTGCAGCCCATAACATGATGTAGCGCTGTATGTCCCACAATACATTATGAAACATCCAGATGCCATAGGTCAATCAAAGTCAGGATGGCTGAAATGTGTGTTAAAGTGTAGGAGATTAAAATATTATGCCTAACACTGTATAATGCATCATGGAAAAATCCTTGTAAGTATAAATTAGCTTTACTGTTGAGAATAAAATCTTCCTTTTGGTTATTTATGAAGCTTCATTTTGAAGATTGCCTTCACTGACTAACAAGCAAATCAGGACTTGTCATGTGCAAATCTTGTGAAGATTGCAAGGCCAGTATATAATTAGCCTCAAAAGAGTGTGACCAAATTGGGTAAAAAAAATAAAAACACTATGAAAAGGAAATAAGAAGACCAAAAGGAGGTCAGGGTGTGGTCAAACCATGGGAACCCTTTAACTTTAAATTTTCCTGACATGGTTATGTTCAAAGTCTCTAGAAAAAGTGAAATTATGTAACAAATATTCCCCTTCTGCTATTCAAAGGGCTGCGATTGTTCAGAGATCAAAGAATCTGGTGATGAAGAGAAGTTTATACAGCTTCAAGTATGAACAATATTCAAATTGAGAACAACAAAAAGAGAGCTGGCAGGAGGAGAAAATAAGGGGGAAGGGAAGAAGGGGCTTGGACAATGGATTACCTCATAACAAGTGCTCAAAAAATGTTTGCTGAATGACTCTTTTTCCCTTAAATTTTACCATCAGCCTTTTCCCTCAGTGATGACCCTGTACCCCCAGTTCTCTCTCTGTCCTGAAAATCAGAAGCAAGATCCCATTCTACCCTTTACCCTTTGGCTAATCATGTATGTAATGCCCTGAAGTCATTTTTGAATTTCCTGTAAGGCACACACCACCCTTTCTCACCACAGAGAGTCTTGCTTTCGAGGTCAGATGATTCTCACCAAGATGATTCTCACTGATGACATTTAGGAGAAAATTTCCAATTAATTGTTGTCCTTTAAACCCTCTTCCATCTCTGTATCCAGAAATGGGATCCTGGTTTCCATGGGGACCATTACATAGCAGGGGCTGTCAAAGTTTTAGTTAATGCACTCTGTTGAGATCATCTTCCAACAGGGTGGGGTGCAAGTAGACCCTGGGTGTGAAGACTTTGAGGGGGGAAAACCCAGGAAGTGGGCAGATGACTCAATGGGGGCACTTTGTTGAGTCACGACTAAGAATGTTTCAGTGTGCTATGGTAGACACCAAGTTTCCAAAGAGTTTTTTCAAACCCGTTGTCCAAAAGGTGCTCATTAGATTCTGGGCCCTCTTCTCCTTGTTTCTGTCTTTGCATCATCGAATTGTACAATGTGTGTCTTCACCATCACTGTTAGCCCCCAGCCAGGACATCTGTAGAAGTAAGATGCTCTGGGGAAGAGAAGTGATTTTCATTCTATACTCATTATGTATAAATGTGCAATTACTTCAACAAATATTTATTGAACACCTAAAATGGATCAGGAATTTTTCTGCTTGTTAGTTTACAAGGAGGCCATCTGCAATCCATAGTCTCATGAAAATGTTTTTAGTTATTGTTACAAGTCCTCTTTAATTAAGTTGTTGTCAGCTCTCTGAAAAGCATCATTAAATAAATGTCTCAATCTTGTCACTTGGAGCCTAGTTAGTCTCAGTGTAAGTCATAGAAAGAGGAGAGATGGAATAAAGGATGGTAAGACCTTACTCCCAGAACTGAATAGCCACTAACGAAAGAACTCATAAGGGAGGAATGATGAGAATCAAATAATGCTGTGTCCATGCAAACACATTTTAAATTGCTAAAATAAAGAGAACAAATTTCCCCAACATCTATACTACTTCTTGGTATGAATCTAGACCTCTTTGTGGGTTTTGTGTCGAGTAAATCTTTCTGGACAAGAAAATACTTTCAAATTTTCCCACTTAAATAAAATTATTGTTTCAGTGAAAAAACAGCCCAGGAGTCAGAAGTCTAATCTCTGTGGGTTGCAGTAAACGCAAATACTCCAGGAGTTTTTTCTTAAATACGTGGCTTCCGGAGATGTTTATATCCTCATCCTCAAGACCTGTGAACATCTTGCTTTAAGCAGCAAGAGAGACTTTACAGATGAGATTAAGCTAAGGATCGTGAGATGGGAATGTTACTTTGAATTCTCTAGAAGAGCTACATGTAATCACAAAAATCCTTAGGGAGGCAGGGGGTCAGAATTAGAAGAAAGAGGTGAGACAAGGGTATCCAAGGTTGAAATGATGTGTTTTGAAGATGAAGTAGCCATGAGCCAAGGAAAGTAGGAGGCTCCTGTTATACCTGGGTGCCAGACCTCTACTAATGCAAATGTCCTTTGGAGAGGTTACCCATCCAGATGTCCTGGGCCTTGCCTCCTACTGTCCCTTCACTTGCAAGACAATAACAAGGAAGTTGGTTTATAACACAGAGTTGTGCTAAGTCCAAGCAGGTACAAGCTCCTGGTCCTTCTCTTCTATTATATCAAGGTTGGCCCAGCAACCTCCACACATCAACCCATACTTCAGCCTTACATGAGCTATAACCTACTCAGAGCAGTGGAGCAAATAATGCCCTTCTGAAGTTCCTATCTGTGCTAATAAAGAATTGGTCAGAATGGAAGAGATGTATGGTTTGGAACTAAAAAGAGAATCCATAGAAATAGTGAGACTTCCTCCCCTTTCCAGGAAAGAGAATATAAATTAGTATACTATCTAATAAGTCTAATACTTTTGCTTTAGCACTGAGATAAAGTTTACTACTTTCAAAACAGGTCACTTGAAATTCACAATACATTTTGAACTAGAAACAGAAGTATGTTCTTGGTGCCCTGTGCACATATGTCTGCATGCATCATGATCAGCCAGGTTCATACAATGACTTCACT